ATTCTCCTACTTTCATCTTTGTTGATGAAGATCATTCTCTTTATGTATCAGATTGCAACAATCATCGTGTGATGAAATGGAGAAAAGATGCAAAAGAAGGAGCAGTTGTGGCTGGAGGTAATGGTCAAGGAAGAAATCTTAATCAATTGTCTAATCCTCAAGGACTATTTGTTGATGATTTGGGTCAAATCTATGTGGCAGATAGTGGAAATCATCGAATAATGCGTTGGTGTGAAGGAAAAGAAGAAGGTGAAATTATTGTTGGTGGAAATGGTCCAGGAAACCAGTCAAATCAATTGAATTGCCCCTGTGGCTTATGTTTTGATGATGAAGAAAATCTTTATGTCGCTGATTTTAATAATCATCGAATTCAAAAATTTGAAATACTTTTGTAAATTTAATGTTGATTTTGAATAAATGAAAGTAATTTTTTATTTGAATTGAATTGAAATAAAAATTATATGAAAAGAAGATTTTATCTTTGATAAAATTCTATTAGAATATTTTATCTGATGAAAACAATCGGATACTTTTTTGCTCTTTCAATTTGATGAGGTTTGAAAATTATTCGACATTGAAAAAAAAGACATATGGTATATAAATTTGATAATGAAAATCGAATTTGTAGGTGCAGATCTATGTTTACTCTTTACTTATAGCCAGATTTATATTAAGACATTCTTTCATTGAATAAATATCATAAAAATTGTTTGGATTTTTATTTGAGATTAGAAACAAATCAATTTGTAGTTTTAGTTCAACCATCTCAGATATCACATCAGTTATGTCAATGAGATTTTTTCACAATTTGTAATTGTTGTCATAAAAAAATTCTTTTTCCATTTCTTCTACTACCGAGCAATGTTCTTATTTGTGTTGAGTCATGAAGTTTATATTTATAAAAGAAGGCAAAAAGACATTCATTTCTTCTATAAACTTCTATTCAAGCACATGGCAATGGCAAATAATAAAACACAATGTTTTAAATGCAACAAAGAAAAACTAACATATCCTTGTGAAGGATGTTCACAAAGATTTTGTTTTACGGATTTAGCAGAACATAAACAAATATTAAATGATGAACTAAATCATATTATTAATAATTATGATCAATTCAAACAAAGAATAAATGAGCAAAAGCAAAATCCGCAAAAGCGTGCATTAATAGAACAAATTGATCAATGGGAAATAAAATCAATTGAAAAGATTCAACAAAAAGCTGAAGATTGTAGAAAGCTTGTCGTTAGATATTCACAAAGATTTATTAATGATATTGAAAATAAATTTGATGATTTAAGTGAACAAATAAGACAAATTCACAAAGAAAATGAATTTAATGAAATGAATTTAAATTATTTAAGAAATCAATTAATAGAAATTACAGAAGAGTTAAATGATCCGTCAAAGATTTTAATTCAAGAAGATTCACAATCATTTGTTAATGAAATTTTGATTATTTCAGCAATAAGTAAGTTTTTCAGGAAATTATTTCTAAAAGAATAATTTTCGTTTTCTATGATATTGTGTTGAAAAACTATAAAAACAAAGAAAAGTTATGACGAAGATAAAAGAATGATAAGATATGAAATAGTATTACATGAAAAAATAACTTTCTTCAAAGATTCAAAAAATGTTTTATTGATAAAAACAAAACTAAATTGTTTTCAAATTTGTGTTTAACAAAAAATAAATCAACAAAATCCTTTCTTTTCAAAACAATTTATTGCTACTTTCCAAATAACAAACTTCAAATGATTTATGTTTTTCTAAGTAAAGTACTTTTCAAATTCAACAAAAAAAATTCAAATAAAATTTGTCTTTTCACTAAATATGTTTTCTGAATATCTCATTGAAAATTCAAGTTTGATAATAATACAATTAAAGTTATAAACAAAATCAGTTTTTTTCTTTCTTCGATAAAAAACAACTTTTCTTGTTTTTCTTCTTCTTTTTCTTTCCATAAAAATCGTTTGTTTTCAACCTTTTCTAGAACCAAAATTTAACAAATGGATACAAAATGCTATCACTGTGGCTGGTGGAGAAGGGAAAGGACAACAATTAAATCAACTCAATAGCCCTTATGGGATCTTTATTGATAAAAATCAAAATATTTTCATTGCTGATTATGATAATCATCGTATTGTTGAATGGAAATATAATGCAAAACAAGGACAAATTATTGCAGGTGGAAATGGGCAAGGAAATCGAATAGATCAATTGAATCAACCAACAGATTTGATTGTTGATCAACAAAATCATTCGATCATCATTGCTGATTATGGAAACAGACGGGTAATTCAATGGTTGGATCAAAAACAACAAATTCTCATTCATAATATTGGCTGTCATGGCCTGGCAATGGATAAATATGGATTTCTTTATGTTTCTGATGATGAGAAGAATGAAGTGAGACGATGGAAAATGGAAGAATATAACAATGCAGGAATTGTACTAGCAGGTGGAAATGGAAAAGGAAATCGACTTAATCAACTCCATTATCCTACTTTTATCTTTGTTGATGAAGATCAATCTGTTTATGTAACAGATAGAAATAATGATCGTGTGATGAAATGGAGAAAAGATGCAAAAGAAGGAATAGTTGTGGCTGGAGGAAATGGTCAAGGAAGAAATCTTAATCAATTGTCTAATTTTCAAGGAATATGTGTCGATCATCTGGGTCAAATCTATGTGGCAGATAGTGGAAATCATCGAATAACGCGTTGGTGTGAAGGAAATGAAGAAGGTGAAATTGTTGTCGGTGGAAATGGTAAAGGAAATGAATCAAATCAATTTAATGGTCCCGCAGCTTTATGTTTTGATAATGAAGGAAATCTTTATGTTGCTGATTATTGGAATTATCGAATTGAAAAATTCGAAATAATTTATGAATGAAATTTTGATTTTGAAAAAAAGAAAAAAAATTTTTGTTGAATAAAAATCGAGCAATAAAAGTAAAAGAAAAAATAAAGTTTAATTATTGATATTATGAAATTTCATTTTCCACACACTTTCTTTAGTAATCAATTTAATCTTTTATATCGAATGAAAGAAAAATTTTAAATCTTACACATTAATATTTTTACAAGTTCTGAAAAAAAATTTCCTGTACGAAAAAAAGTCATTTTTGTGAAATTCTATTCATACGATTGATTTAAATAAATTTTTAATATATATTGATATTTCATCACAGCTAATAAATCTCATCAACATAAACAAGAAATTAGTTCTCTTATATGACTATTCGAAAAAAATTATTTTAAAAATCATATATCCAATGTATTGCTTAATTGAAGATTTCAGTTATATTTTTATTTGACTAACAAAAACGACATGTTTACTTTTTCTCCTTGACTCATTGTTAATACAAAACAAATATGTTCATCCGTCTTAATATTCAACATGTATGTCAAACTATCACATATATATGAACGAGAAAGTGATAAGCTGTTTTCGACGTGAGCATTTCTTTTGTTGACTTCTTTTCTTTTGTCTATTGTAATGAATAGAAGGTATATATTGATTGTTGTCTATACTTCATTTACTAACATATACAGTCAAAATATTATTACTACAGAACATAAAGTATACTCGTTACCGTTGTTTTTGATTTGTGTGTGTAGCTATGTATGAATTTATTAAGTTTAACCTTTTTTTTATTATTCTTATCCTCTCTATTTATGGTAAGGATATAAATGAGTTTTATAAAACATTAAACGATGATCCAAATGATGATCCAAATGATATATCAACTTCAACTTCAACAACAACGAAAAAAACAAAACTTTCATTAGCATCTATAAGTTGTATCGAATCTCATCGATGTGGTTGTTATAAAGGTTATTGTTGGGCATATATTGATGAATATCAAACACCAACTACTGGTTGGTGGTGTTTTACACAACAAGATGGTGTACGTGGTAAACAAAAATTATGGGCAACATGTTCAAATAGTAGTCAATGTTTATGGACAATGACTTGTGGAGATTGTTATACTTATGTTGGAAAAAGAACGGGTATCAAAACAGATAAACTTCTTTGTTAAAATTTCTCGTTTCTATTGTATTATATGAATTAAAATTAATAAAATATCAATTTTTTCTTTCTTTCTTTCTTAGTTCATAGAAAAAAACAATGTTCAATTTTTCAAATATTTATATTCTTTTCATTTATTAATATAATTACAAACAAATAAATCTAGATGTTTCGATTTAATGATGTCCTAGATAAATTTAATTAGATACAGTAGATTGTATAAAATCAACGAATGTACTTTGAGAACTTTTTTGAATGCTTTATTTCATTCAATCTATCTTTTTTTTTTTATTTAATATGCTTTGATATTTTAGCGAAGTAAAATCAAATAATGGATTATTTTAAATTTTTATATTTAATGTATCTAACAAGATTT